TCAGATATGTGAATGGTGAAGGAGGGAGTAAAATGGAATGTTGGGTGATGCGAAATGACCAGATTTGAAGAACAACAAAAAAAAAGTGACAACGAGGCACAAGACGTTCAAGGAGAACCTAGGGGAGGCTACGCAAGTAACTGACCTTCGCCAAACACTGGCTTTAGTCATATTGTGAATGAAGTGATTGATTCAAATAGAGTGAAGCAGAATTGGTTTATTTTGATGGAATATTTGAATGATCTTATATTCTGAGGAAACATAACTTTACCAGCATTAGTGGCAGATTTCTCTTCAACCAGCACATGCGATCCCCGTTTCATTTCAGAAAATTTTATCTCCCATTTTACACTCTACGAGAATTTTTTGAAAAATATGTTAGCTACTCTGACTTTGATGCTTCCAATTGTCTACTCGAATTATTCATAACGGATTTTTGCTTTGTTAACAGTCATTGAACATTTTTCTATTTTCGTGCTAGATCTAGATTATAGGTCCTCTAGAGTATTTGAAGTATATATAAGCATTTTCTTTTAGGGTCAAAATGGCTCAATGGCCCTTTTCTCATATTTTGCGGAGAAGCATGAAATCGAATTCCAGTTTCCAAAGAACCTGCACATAAGATATTACCCACATGGATGTGAGACTTTCGACAAATAAACGATCATGTTCGTAGCTGAAATTAGAAACCTAACATTCAAGATTCAAGAGAAAAAAAGCCGAGATTTAATGGCTGACTATATCATAATATCCTTTTTTATAAAGTTGTACTCTCCGTCTCATTTTATAAAAATTCTTAAAATATATAATAAAAAGGAGTATATAATTAAAATAAAATACTAGATATTCAAAAATCAACTTCCAATTGTATGTTACTTTCGTAATTGATATCTAGTACAGTTTTGCCTATTCGTCTAGTGAATGGCGTGTACAAAGTAAATAATGTTGTAGTTTTGTAGGGATCATATCTAATGTACAATTGTAAAAAACTTGTTAAAGTGATGAAGGTCTTTGGAACAAAAGATTGATGTACAATTATTTTACTAGATGTCGATACTTTTTTTTTTCGTGCAACCCATTGTTTTTCATTAATTTAAAAGTTGATCTTACATTCGTTCATACCACAATACATGAAATCATTAAAACTTAAAGTAGAAGAAACAAGATAATTATACGACAGCGAATAAAAACAATTTCTTGATGCGTCGGTATAAAACTCACGGCTAAGCCGGAAAGCATAAAGTTGGTCACATTGAGCCGTGACGTTGAAAGATTATCCATATCTCCGAACTTCGTCAAAACGAATCCGGTTGCATTCGTTGTGTCGGTAAAAACCGCTACACGAGAATACAAAAAGATTAGGGAAATGCTCGGTTTTGGTTCCTAGAAGGTTCTTACTCTAAAAAACAGAAGAGAATATGGACAAGTTCTCTCTCACCGGGAGGAATTTACAGGATTGATGTACAATTATTTTACTAGATGTCGATACTTATTATAAGAAAAATGGATTATTATATATATATCCTCAGAGTCTAAGTATTTAGGTTGCATAATTGTCCATCAACACATACATCCATCTAGCAAACCATTACCGTTGTTCCGTTCTACAATATCTTCCATCTTTCTTACTCTACCCAAAACGCTTCTCGCCCATTCGCCAAAATAAGTCTCATTGTATCCGATCCTACCGTTCTTGTAGACCGACATACATCGCCTATCCGTATCAGGAAACCGACATGTTTCCCCAACCGGATCACGCCACGAGCCTTCGTGTCTCATTCCTGACCAATTAGCTCCCCATTGGTACACAAACTGACCAACTCCTGCAAGCTTAAGCCATCCTTTAGGGTAAAACTCCATCACACTACTATTTCTATCCATTAGAACCAAATTAGTAAGCTGTGCACCATGTGGTGACACTAACACATTTGTCTTCCTCATCAGCTCCACTTGCTCACAAAATGTTAAATTATTTGAATAAGAAACTTTTAATTCACACCCTTCTACTCTCTTACACTCTCTCTTAAAGATATTGATAACCGTAGACTCATTCTTGAATGATCTTGGTCCGGTTCTCATTAGCAATGTCATCCCGATTCGCGGTTTTGATGTCTTGGACAAGCTAATGTTACAGTAGTTTCTCGCTTTGCATCTAATTAGGTCAAAAACTTCCATTCTTCTCTCCCTTGACATTCCACCTTCATTGTGTCTCATAACAACCGCCTTCTTGAAGCAAACCGGCTTCTCCTCATCAACAAACCGTAAGAACTCGATGTTCTGACCGTAAGTCGCTGTGATTATCTCGCTCAACCAATTTCCCATACCGAACCTTAGTTCTCCCCAGTGGTACAAAACCCATCTTTGAGGTTTTTCGCATTGGTTTCTTAAGCTCCAAGCAATAAACGGGACCATGGCGGATAGTCCATGCCACATGTTACCGTAATCATAATGATTATAGGAAACAAACGTTAATCCCTCCTGGAGACTGGCGTTGACCGGAAGGGCTTGAGGCCAAGCCAGTGCATAGTAGTTCCATGACCCATCATGCTCATCAACCCCTTTCAAGCACAAAGGCCTTCCTTTTGAAGATTTTGAAGGAAATTCTTGATATTGAACCTCACCTTTTGTTTGGTTATCGTATAGAGAGCTCATGAACCACGTGTGACCTTCGAGTGGTTTATTTGAAAAACGAAGGTCTTTAAGGGGAAGAAATGTTACCGACTCACGTAACTTCTCCACCAAGTAAGCCGTCTCGTTCTTAGATATTTGTTCAGGTTCTTTTTGCTGATTCAGATATGTCAATAGTGAAGGAGGGAGTAAAATGGGTTGTTGGGTAATGTGAAATGACCAGATTTGAAGAAGAACAAAAACTGTGACGACTAGGCACAAGACGTTCAGGGACAACTTAGGGGAGGCTAAGCAGGTAACTAGCCTCCTTGAAACGCTGCGTTTAGTCATGTTGTGAATGGGGAGAGTGAATGAATGTGAAGAAAGAGAATGGTTTTATCTGATGAGATGGGTGAAAATGAAACTCGTGAGGAAAAGTGAAAGCTAACTTTATTTGCCAAAGAAGTTGATGAATTGCATGTTTGGAAAACGAACGTTATCAAATCTGCTTCCACATTCGTGGCAGCTTTTAGCATCGACCAACACATGTTTGTTGTTTCATTTTCTACAAGATTTTAAAAAGCAATTTCTAAATTTGTTCACAAACGTCTTTCAAATAAGGCATATCCTGTCTAAGCAAGATTTTCGATATATCTTTATTTCCATGTCTTTCGTAGTAATGAATACGGATGACTATACGTCTATAAATTAGGCGTTCAGCTCATTAGGAAAATCTTTACTAACATAAAAACATAAGCACTTTCACAGGTACAACAAAAGTAAAATATAAGATATTCAAAAAAGAAATTAAAGGTACAAATCATACTGGTATGAGTAATCAACCAAACCAAAACACACCACAATGAAACAACTCATTACATTAGTGATATAGGAGAAACATCAAACACACATGTGATAATTCAAGGACTCGATGTAGCTGTAGAAGGTGGTGGAGAGAAGAACGGAATGGATGGGAAATTAGTCGGAAGAGAAGGAATTGTTGTCGGAAATGAAGGCAAAGTTGGCATTGAGAATGGAGGAAGTGAAGTGGGAATTGTGGGAAGTGTTGGTTGTGGCAGTGTTGATGGCAATGGAGGGATTGAAGTGGGAATGGTCGGAAGTGTCGGTTGTGACAATGTCGATGGCAATGGAGGGATTGAAGTGGGCATGGTAGGAAGTGTTGGTTGTGGTAATGTTGATGGCAATGGAGGAAGTCCCATTGTCGGGATTGGCAGATTTGGAATTTGAGGAAGAGGCTGTTGTTGGAGAAGCTGGCGAGAGGCCGAGCACGAGTTGATCATAAAAGAGGAAGAGAAAGTCACTAAGAAAGCAGTGAGAAAAAGCTTGTATGATGCCATTTTGGGTGTGTGTTGATGAATCTTCAATTTTCCTTAAGCCTCCCTCTAATTGCTTCTTCACTTTACTGATTAAGTTGATGAGAAACTACATGATATGTTATTGAGTTATATAATGGCAAGAGTCTATATGGGTTTGAAAGACTTTTAGTATACTTTTTCTATTACTTTTTGTAGGTATATTTTAAGGTTAGTGTATGGTTGGATTGAGCCTTGTTAGTTCAACTTAATGCGTTTTGTATATTATTTTGACAATTCAAGGATTTTGATTTTAGTTAGTTCAACAATCAAAACCCTAATACACTAGTTACCTAACCAAACTTGTTTTTTTTTTAAGACAAAAACATATTTCTTG